GTCGTTGTTGTTGCTGTTGTTGTTGTTATCGTTGTTGTCATTGTTTTTGTTGATGTTTTTGTTGATGTTTTTTGTTGTTGCCGTTGTTCTGTTCTTGTTGTGTTGTTGTTGTTGCTTTTGCTTTTGCTGTCGTTGCTGCTGTTGCTCAGTTCTTGGTTTCTAGATTCCTCAGTGGTTGGAGAAATTCAACAGAAACAGCATGCCATGAAACAACACTTATCATGAACAAGTCCAATCAGCTCATCATTGTGAACAAAAATCGTGACTCTTCACATCATTTCACATCCATGCACAAGGAGCACAAGATGACAAGACCTACACAACACTGCTCATAATCTCATAGCAAAGTCATCATCTTCTTCAATTGGATACAGTGCGACCTCCTCACATTCCCACCAGCGGCTCCTTTTCAATTCAGTCGTGCCTCTTGTCGTTTTCAGTTATCTCCACCCACCCCTGAAGTAGGACAATTGTCGTTGCTGCTCTATCTCATTATCTACTCTTGAATTGTTTTTCAATAGGAAAACATGGATTCAAAACTCTAGTATTCAGAGCCATATAGACCAGAAAACACTTCAGATATAAGAGAGCTGAAGAACTGTAGTGCACTCTGCCTGAGAAGCATTGTGCAGTAGGACAGTCCATGGGTGTGTCATCATCTCCCTGCATGGTTTCATGTCCTCATTTTCTTGTGTTATGTGTCTGTATCCCTACTTTTTCTACCCCTCCTTTCTTTGGCAGCAGGTTTAAATCTCTCTAGCACCTTACAACCATACCGACATTCTTGCCTCCCTTATCTCCAGGTCAAAAACTTTGAGAGTCTTTGCCCACCCCCCTAACAAGGGGCAAGAAGTTTCAAGTGTGATGCGGTCATCGTCATCGTCGTCGTCATCATCATCATCATCATCATCACTGTCATTGTTGTTGTCGCTGTCATTGTTGTAGTCATCATCATCATCATCATCATCATCATTGCCATCATCATCATCATCATCATCATCATTGTAGTTGTCATGGTCATCGTTGTTGTCACTGTAACTGTTATTGTTGTCCTTGTCATTGTTATTGTTATCGTCATTGTTGTTGCTCATCATCATCGTTGGTGTCATCGCCATCTTTGTTGTTGTCAGTATCGTTGTCATCGTTGTCGTTGGTTTTGTTGTCATTGTCGTTCTCATCATCATCGTCGGCAGTGTTGGTGTTGTTGTTGTTGTTGTTGTTGTTGTTGTTGTTGTTGTTGTTGTTGTTGCTGGTGGTGGTGGTGGTGGTGGTGCTGCTGCTGCTGCTGCTGCTGCTGCTTCTGCTTCTGCTGCTTCTTCTTCTGCTGCTGCTGCTGCTGCTGCTGCTGCTGCTGGTGATGGTGATGGTGATGGTGATGGTGTTGGTGTTGGTGTTGGTGTTGGTGTTGGCATCATCTTGATTGTTGTTGTTAGTGTTGTTGTAATTGTTGCTGTAGTTATTGTAGTTGTTGCTATAATGACAGGGCTTTCTATTCAGGTGAAGACAATTTTTTTTTGTCCGTTCATGTAGATTTAAGGATAAGACACCCCAAAACTGCAAGGCATAGGATCTAGTTGAACACCATTAGCAAGTATCTAGAAATTTAGGACCAGGCCTAATCTGGGGTCGTAATTAGGGTGGCCCTAATCTGCTTCATGGTTTCATCCAACCCCGGAGAATGCCTCGGAATTTCCTGACTTCGCTGTGCTTCTGCTCTATCCCCCAACCCTGGCTGTCACTCTCTTTTGATATAACTAAAAGTATTCTAGGTCTTAAAAAGTAAATAAATAAAACTTGCCACTCTTGGAGGGACCCACAGTTTCAGGTCTGCTCCTGTGTCACTGAAGCTCCATGCTCCCCACCTGTTGGCCACTGGGCCCAGCGTCCCTTTTTATTTCATTTTTTTTTCGGGGTGGGGGTGGAGGTCCAGCGTCCCTTATCGTATTCTAGGCTGGAACAGAATCTCTAGGGCGTTTCAAGAGGTAACTAGAATTTCTTGGAGTTTTTCTCGGCCATTGGCAGGCCACCCGAAATGGTACAACAGTGCACAGAGGTGGATTACCGTCTTCCCCCAAATAGAAAGTACGGTCATTATGCCTGTATTTTTGAATTTTTTGGGGCAACTTTCAGTCCAGATGCAACAATAATGACCACACGTTGTATTTGGGGGAAGACGGTAGGGCCTCTATCCAACGAGGCTGCGTAATTTTGTTTTCAAAATTTCCGTGGTCTCAAATGAGCACCGTAATGATTCACAGTGACGAAGGGGGTTCATTGTGAACCACCAACCCACTCTCTTCTGACATAACAGAAAGTGTCTGAAAGTATTCTAGGCCCTTCAAAAAAAACAAAAAAAAAACTTGCCACTCTTCGAGGGACCCAGTGACCCACGGTGTCATGCCTGCTCCTAATGTGTCACTGGAGCTGCGGTGAAATAAGCTCAGGTCAATTCAACCCTATTGGTGGGGAGCTCCACCTATTGACCACCGGGCCCAGCATCCCTTTTCTTTTATATTTTCGGGGGGGGGGGGCGGGGGGAGTGCAGCGTCCCTTATAGTATTCTAGACTGCATCAGAATCTCTAGAGCGTCTCAAGAGGTGAGTACAATTTTTTGGAGTTTTTTCTCGGCCATTGGCAGAGGTGATTAGGATCTCTGTGGAACGAGGCTTTTTTTTTTCATGTTTTTTTTTGGGGGCGGAGCGAACAAGGCGCTATTCTATTTGTGGGGAGCAGCACTGCTGGGAACCGGGCCCAGCATCCCATATGAGAATTCTACAGAACAATTTAAGGTAGAGGGACCATTACCTGGCTTCAACTGAGAAAAACAAATCATAGGAACAACTGCTGAATATATTTTGGGGAAACTAGAACCATTCTGCATAACCACAAAAGTCCCCAGAAATCGTCCGAAAACCCAAGAGTTTATCCATCAAACTAAACCAAGACCCTCCAAAGCTATCTGTTCCCTGTCAGACTCTTCCAGGCCTCACACCCCCAACCTGCCAAGTTGCAGGGCAACGCGACTCACCCCAGCTCCGGCCAGCCTCGTCTCGACAGCAATCCCGGTTGTCCCTTGGAATGCCCGCCCCAAGGCCGCCCCAAGGCATCCCCAGATATGTCTATCAGGCTTTACACCCCTGCCAAGAACAGGTCAAAAGGCAACACGCCAGCTCCGCACAGCGTTGTTGTGGCATCGGACAACCACAGATCTCTGAACTGACCGCATCAGAGCCGCCTTGCATGAGCTGCTGGAAACCCTCGATACCTTAGATTGTTGTTGTTTCTCTATACCACTAAAGGAAACAGCGGTCCTCGCGTGGGGCCCAACAGAAACCGGCGGCCGCCGCGCGGGACCGCTGTCGGGCAGTGGGCACGGGGGAACCGACAGCGCGCCGGTGTCGGGAAGCAGCCAGTGCGAAAAAGGGCGACCCGGGCCCGACAATGGGAGCACATACATTGCCACCCGTTGGTGGTGAGTCGATCTGAATCGATCACGCGAAACGAGGAAAATACATTGTCCTTTTTTTTTTTTCGAGACGCGGGTTTGGACACATGCAGCGCGCACTTCTTTTTTTGCCTTTCCAGAAGGGTCCTGACTCGATCTGAATCGATCGCGCGAAGCCAGGAAAATACATTGCTATTTTTTTTTTTGGTGACGTCGCGAATTGTTTTTTCGAGACGCGTGTTCGGACACACGCAGCACGCGATCGTTCGGGAGCATACGACAGCACTTCTTTTTTTGCATTTCGACAACTGTGAGCGGGTTTTTTCGAGAAGCCTCGACTGCTTTCGTTCAGCGGGCGCGGTGTGATAAACCCGCCGGCTGTGCTATGCTCGACTTCGACTTTGAGTTCGATTTCAACTTTGCCACTCTACTACTCGACTTTGCTATACGCAG